ATATGACCAGTAGATCACTGACGTATCTGACATCGTACCCCCTCGACTGTCTCCACTGTGGCTCGTAGGTATGGTCAGGAATATACAAGCCAAATCCGCCATATTGATTCGGCAAGGGGTAACGTCTAGGATTCCCATCACTGAGACCCTGATTATCTAGGCTGCGCTCTCGAGCGGCAATCCCAAGGATGCAAAGGAGGTCTGCGAGAGGCTGGTCGTCAGGCAGGCTACTCCACAGCACTCGCAGAGCTGGGTCAGCGAATGCCCGGCAAGTCCTTGCGGCAAAGACGAGGGATCGACGAGACTCGTAAACATCGCCCGGGAGGTACTGACGCTCCAGGTCATCAGCGTCGAAGTAGGAAAAGATGCGATAGAGGATGTCTGGAGTGTGAGCTAAGGAGCACAATGTAGCAGTGACCATCCTGATGGGGGGGATGAGGCAGAACTGTACACGCACAGCAAAAGTCGTTCTATGGAGCGCTGCGGCCCGAGTGTTCCGTAGGACCGCTGGACCCAGGGCCGCAGCCTGGTGTTGTGATTTGTTATTTAAGACTCTTCTAGCACACACATGAAGCGAGAGCTGTTTAGCAAGCCGCTGGGTGCCAGTGGCTGCCTGCAGGAGAACACTCACTGATAGCAACACGAGACGAACTGGGTGGATTACGATTCGATCTAGGCATACTGGAAGGGCTTAGCATGGCAGGCGCATCGCGCACTGGATCTCATGAGGGAGGACTCGATTCATTGAGCCTCAAGGCTGCGATGTGGTTGGTTCCATGAGGCAGGCTAAACCTGTGTCGCTCCTGGTTAGCAGAGCAATGACTCGAAGAGGCGAAGTCCACATGTGAATGCCCGTCAGGCGACTCCATTTCGGCGGAGCTTGATCACCGCGGGAGAAAGAGGATTGCGCCAAGCCGGCAATGTTATGTAAGCGAATGCTGGCGCTACATGCGAGTGGCCCTCGCGAACGAAGACGTTGAAACTTGACAGGCTTCATGATTGTTCAACTTTCCTCTGATAAATGATTCCAAGAGCTCGTGTTCGCCCGCGTTCCCATGCAGCGACATAAGAACATCCGTGGATTACCAGCGCAGCAGTATGAGAAGGTCAACGACGTTACATATTTCTTTCTGCCAGTGTCTAGGGGCCTGCTTCTCTAGACAGCATATATCGACCATACGTCACCGGGCGACTCTCCACCTAAGCCACATATGCTTAGTACAGTCATCAAATCGACCAGAAGCACCTTTCACGAAGCCCCAAGTCTCCTGTTCCTCCTCCTTCCCCTCCTCCTCCCCAGGGTCGGAGTCATCGTCCTCGGAAAAATAGAACTCCTCCTTTCCGAATCTGATCTGATCTTGTTCAAATGCTGACGCTACTCGAGGAAAGACACGTCGGACGAGTTCCGATATCTGCCCCGCCAGGTCCGCCCTTCCATAGGGGAACAGCACCTTCTCAATGACGAGCGTTTGTAGGTCATGAGTCTCGCTGGGGAACTCGACAGCTCCAAGAGACTCCTCCGCTATCTCCATCGCAGGGAGATGTAGAACACGGAGCCGGGGGCACTTGCCGGCGAAATGCGCGATGCCCTCCAGTCGACCGCCGTAGGGACGTTCTGGGCGCGGAATATAGGCTCTGCTCCAACCTTGATATACCCAGATGATAAGATGGAGCTCGACGAGGTCAGGCCACGCATCTGCCATCAAAGATAGATCGGATTCGGTCCCCACCAGGTAGTCTGGGAGCCTGGTCGCGAGATATCGGAGGGAACGGAGGGAAAGCAAAGGGCGCATGGTGTCCAGGAGGTCTCCATCGAAGGTACCATGCACCTCAGGAATATCATCCTCGACGCAGCCGTATTGGTGCTGAGGGGTATATGTTGTGTATATCGACAGATTGGTGATGGACTTGTAACGGGAGATGGCGTGGAAACACTGTTTGACATCCATGGCGAGCTTGGGAGCGTTATCTTCACCTTCCCAACCTGCTACGGAGAGCGTGTGTAGCGACGGAAGATGCGCGCTGTTCAGCAGCGTAGTGAGGTCCGTCCATGAACCTTCCATCGCCAGTGTGCCCAAAACCGGAAGGGCTGGAAGGGCCAGGTTCGGAGAAGGGATGCCAAAGGATAGCGAGATGGAGAGGCACCGCAATGTAGGAAACCCAGCCAGCATCCGGAGGTCTTCAACGCCACACTCGGGCTGCACGTCCATGTGGCGAATATGGGGGAAGTATTTCCGTACCACTGATGAATCAAGGCGGGAAGGGGGCAATGGAAGGCGGAGTTTGCCCACAGAAGGGGGGAGGAGAGCAAAGATTCCGGGCGTCAGAGCTCGCCTGGGTCCGATCTCGCAGAATGAAACAGTGTAGAGCATCGGCAGGATTGTGATACCACCTGCTGCAGACTGTAACTCATCCCAGAGCCTTGACCACTTGGGACCGTCAAAGATGAAAAGCGCAACGGCACGGACGCGGGATGCATACTCGACGAAGCGATCCCAATGGGCGTGTGTACGGGGATCACCAGGAGTGGAGATGGACTAGGCAAGTGCGAGTCAGTATATGACATCGTTTGCTGCCCCGCAACACGCACATAATTGACATCATATCCTCTTGCTCGTTTCCAACGGCGCTCATATGCGTCTATAGCATCGAAATCCGGGTATCCTCCAACATCGTCTGTGGGTGGCAGCCGATATCGTTGGGGTTTGTCCTCGTCATGGCGTGACTGATAGTCCAAGTCTCGTTCTCTCGTCGCGATTCCAAGAGTACAAAGGAGATCGGAAAGAGGCTGGTCATCTGGAAGACTGCTCCAAAGCATCTTCAGAGCTGGATCTGTGAAGGCCCGACAAGTCCTCGCGGCCATCGCCAGGGATCGACGAGAATCATAGAGTGCGGCAGATCTATTATCGTTGTACCACACAGCGTGCACGTCGAAGTGGGAAAATACATTATAGAGGATGTCCGGGACGTCGGTCAACGAGCGACGCGTAGCAGTGGTCATGGCGGAATCGAGGACAGACTCGGGGCCTGGGAATGTATACGCACGGTCTATGTTATCTCGTAGCTGGAGGTTGGGCTCCGACTCGCCAGCGTCCGATTATATATGTGAGGGCCGCAGCTCAGTAGATCACAGTGAGAAAGACGGACCCTATTGTATTAACGTTTGGCGTCTCAATGAGCGGTAAAGACGGAAGGAAGGATACGGGAATGTCGTCCACGGTCCCATGCGGAATGGAAGGTTCACATCGGCACATCGGCACTGGCTGTACTAATCGTCGTCCTGAAAAGGAGTGTACCAAGGTAGCGTGCCTTCAGGCGCATGACGACGCACATAGTCACGTCTGCAAACGTCTGCAAAACATGCAGCACGTGTTTAGCTTCGGTTTCATACCGGACTCCTCGGCGCTGCATCCTGGGATCTAAAATGGGAGAGGAACAATTAGCAGAATGAGTACAAGGAGGGTCTGCGTGGGCTCGGCATTGTAAAGCAGTCAGTGAGGACAGTCGCGAAGTCGCAATTCAGTCGCCATGTCAACGGCCATCAGTTCCGGGTCAGCATACCGGGAGGCACAGAGTAAGTACAGACGAGGACCGGACGCCTGCAGGAAGGTGCTCAATGTTAGCCAAGTGGCGATTGACATTTCGTTGTGATGCCGCAGGGTTTGAATTTCCAGCGACTCGATAAACATCATCGACTCAGAATGGATACGGATTTCACCACCCAACCACAACGAACTGATGATCTCCACCAGCCAGGTCCGTGATCCAATACCTCCCCAAGTCGTCCGCGGTCACGCGTACGCCTGGTCGATCTGCGCGGATCAGGGTAGCTGTCGTACGGTTGCCCGGGAAGGGTATACCGACAGTGCCCGTCGTCCCCTTCGGCGTGCTGATCTCAAGCCGAAAGACAGATCCGTCCGTGAACCACTTCGACGAGAAGCGACCGAGAGTGGTCGAGAACCCGGCATCGACGTGCGTCAAGTCGCCCACCTGAGGCACGATCGCCCACGTAGCTCCCGCCGCGCTCACAAGCTGGATGCCGCCGACATATGTCTGCACAGAAGCAATCGGTTTTCAGTGAGGCGATAAGACAAAGCCGGAATCACTGACCGTGAGCGAGCTCGTAGGCCCCCGTTCCCACCCATGTGCGTGCGAGATCCGCGGATCGTTCGTGTACGGCGCATAATGCAGCTCTCCGCTCGTAGAGTACCCCTCGATGAACGTGCTGTTCGTCATCCGCGGGTCATCAAGCA